ACATTGCAGTTAATTTGTAAAAAGTAAATTTTCTCCAGCATATGTATTATTTTCTTCAGCAATATTTAATAAATCTAATGGATGCTGTGTGTCTACAGTATTAGCAAGCTCTCACTGCCACCACATAACTAATTATGTACTTCACTGTATCATGTTCAAATTAATAAATAAATAAATAAATAAATAAATAAATGTATAATAAACAAGATTACTATATTTGGCTACCGTTCCTATAGTCTAAATTGTCATATTTAACTTGTTATTACTGTCATGAGGCTTCATTCATCTATTCATAATTTATGGTTATAAAACTATTATTATACAATGTAACATACAATTATGCATGTATGTCTATTTAGTGTTTGCAAAAAGTATTGATATTATTACACATACAACAAACTTTAAATTGATAAAACTGAATGATGGTGAAAGTGTTTCTTCTTTTTTGGGGCACCCTACCTCAGTGGGAGATGGCCGTGTTAAAAAAATATACGTACATATATATATAGATATTTTTTAGCAACCACTGACATCCAAAAAATTACTTATCATTGAAACAGGAATTGATCAGTTCAAAATTGCAGAACAGGCTTTTTGTAATCATCAATTTTTATACACTTATTGCCCTCCAACGAGGGTCCATGATGCTAGTGAAGGACTCGTAATGCAAGGGATTGCACCTGTCCTTCCCTTCCTTGGATCAAACCTGATTACTTCTCATTTTTCCAAGTGCCTTATAGCTTTAACACTTTCCCCTAAATATAATAATTATAACAATAATATAATAATAATAATAATAATAATAGTGCACATTCATAACTGTTTTTAAAATTTTCTTGGAAGAACCAAATGTCTTGTACAAACACACATATCAATGATTTTATTTATAGTTAGGAAAATTATTCACAAAATAATTATGGAATAATTTCAATGTTTCAACTACTGTATTAAAATTCAGGCACTTAAGAATCAACAATCATTTAAAACTACAGCAGCTTTATTCGCTATTATGTAATGTTTTATTTCTACCGATAATTCTGCATAAGTGATATACAGCACAATCTCTGTATGCGATCAATACATCTTGTGAATCATATTGAAGATTCTGATTTTGAGAAATTACCATAAGTATTTATGGCCTTGCTGAACTTACAAGAGCTGCCATGAGCCTGGAATGCATCTACAGCATTAAACGAGAGATATCTCATTTGTTAATCCTTATTTATTTTTTACAACTGTATGACAACATTAGATATACCTTATTATAAAAAATAACCTAGTACAGTACATACATACTGATGAATAATGGTACACAAATAGCTGGTTCTTAATACATGAATAAAATCTATGTATGAACTGCCTTATTAACTGCTGTGAAAAACATTGAGTGCAAACAAGTGTATTGCACACTGGCTACAACAACAGTCAAAATTACAAGATTTTGAAATAACTCTTAATTTTTTATAAATTCGACATTTAATTAAGAAATGGTGAATGGAAATAGTCACAGAAAAAATATTAGTTAGGTTAGGTTAGGTTAGGCTAGGTTAGGTTAGATTAAGATAGTTTAGATTAAGTTAGATTAAGTTAGGTTAAGTTAGGTTAGGGTAGGTTAGGTTAGGTTAGATTAAGATAGTTTAGATTAAGTTAGATTAAGTTAGGTTAAGTTAGGTTAGGGTAGGTTAGGTTAGGTTAGGTTAGGTAGGTTAGATTAGGTTAGGTTAGGGTAGATTAAGTTTGGTTAGATGAAGTTAAGTTAGGTTAGATTAAGTTAGGTTAGATTAAGTTAGGCTAGGTTAGATTAAGATAGGGTAGGTTAGATTAAGTTAGGGTAGGTTAGATTAAGTTTGGCTAGGTCAGATTAAGTTAGGTTAGGTTAGGTTAGGGTAGGGTAGGGTAGGTTAGGTTAGGTTAGGTTAGGTTAGGTTAGGTTAGGTTAGGTTAGGTTAGGGTAGATTAAGTTCGGTTAGATGAAGTTAGATTAAGCTAGGCTAGGTTAGATTAAGATAGGTTAGATTAAGTTAGGCTAGGTTAGATTAAGTTAAGCTAGGTCAGATTAAGTTAGGTTAGGTTAGATTAAGTTAGGTTAGGTTAGATTAAGTCAGGTCAGGTTAGGTTAGGTTATTCTAAGTTAGGTTAGATTAAATTAGGTTAGGTTAGGTTAGATTAAGTTAGGTTTGGTTAGATTAAGTCAGGTCAGGTTAGGTTAGATTAAGTTAGGTTAATTTTGCCGACACTATCTCTAACTACAAGCAAATGTGACTTTTTTCTTGTGATTTTTTTTTTTTACCTGGATTCTTAGGAAACATGCTCAGAGAAATATTAGCTATATTACAACCTTCAGCAATGTTACACCTTATTTAAAATTGTCCAGCAACAAATAAAAGTTTATTTTACATTTTATAACCCTAATTAATCCTTGGCAAAATAATGACTTCCTTGCATATTATTATAATACTCTTATCAGGTCTATGGCAGTGGATATGAATGCACTTCATGTAGCAAATGGAGTAGTATTTAGTTATATAGTATTAAGTACCAAAGTACTGTGCATCTTCATTCTATTTAAAATAAATATCTTTTTAGCTATTCAGAAGAGATGTTTTAACTTCTTATCAAATTTTGGTTCAACAGTTATACTGGAACTGTTCAGAAAAATTCAGCTACATGAAGCAACAGTGTCACGTTCTATGGTATATACATGTCTATGAAAATACTATTACAGGCATTAAATCCCAACAAAATTCAGGGTTGAATTTTGCCATTACATTTCTTTTTTTTTTTTTTTGCTTCCTTAAAAATTACAGAACATTCACTCTATGTATTTCAACTACAATCCTGTAATAACATGGGTAGTATACTCACATATGTTACAAATATACAACATAAAGAAGAAGAGGAACGATTTATCAAGATCATTCATAACTGCAAAAATGTTTTCTGTTAAAACTTTTAAAAAGTTCTTTTTTGAACTGTCTTAATACACCAATGTTAGTTATTTGATCTACAATTCTTGAAACTCTTTATATATTCTTGAAGATACAGCAAAGCTTTTCCATTATTAGATTATAGATATATATAGAATATATTAAGAAAGACAACATGCTACATTTTCTGCCATACAAAATAACCACAGCAAAAAAATAGTGAAATTTCAAGTGCTTTGGTTATTTTGCATATTGTGATATCACCTGTTTACTGTGATCTTATTGTATTTCCTGTCATATAAAAATGCACCAGTGCATTTACAAAACTGTTCTAGTGCATATGCCTGCACTTTAAAGAAGGAGTTTGGGATATTTGCTGTTTGGTGTGACATCCAAACTGTTGTATCTGCACACCTCTGGCAAGACAGTGATCGTGTGAATGATAGTGAAATTGTTTCTTTCTTGTTTGGATCACCCTGCCTCAGTGGGAGATGGCCAGCGCATTGAAAGAAAGCCTACATGAGCACTGTTTACCATAATATAATTTTTATAATGTTGTAATTCAGAGTTAGTTATCTGAAGTGTGATGTCAGCATGCCTCTAGCAGGACAGCAATTAAGTGACTGACAGTAAATATGTTTCTTCTTTTTTTTTTTGGTCACCCTACCTTAGTAGGAGATGGTTAGTATGTTGAAAACAAAAATCACATGTATGGAAATAAAGACAAGACAAGCTTTCATTGGGACTACACCTCGCTCAGGTTAAGCTTGATAAGGCTCAAACTGAGTGAAACTTTGTCTCAATAACAGCCTGTAAAACATATTGCATCTTTATACTCATACCTGTCAGTATTATGCCTCTACATTCAAATTCACTTGTAACATAAATTATTTATTCAACCCTAACACAAAAAACTTCTCCATGTTGTAATCCTCTGTCACTGTAGAAGGTAGTGCAAATCTGTGCAAGCTTTGTTCTAGCATACATACTTGCTTATGATGTGCCTCTTCATAAATCTGAAGCATTGTGTTATTGTTCCTATAAAATTGCCAACTTCTCTGTCTGCTGCTATTAATCATGCTTGGGGAACAATAATTTATGTTTATGCTGAAATGTTCATGAATTTTTAGTCTATTATCTGAGCTTTCATAGACACTGTTTACTTCCTCCAATCTCTGACCATTTTTCTGTTGGTGGTGGCCCACAACATTTTTCCGCATCTCAGTTTCCATCTTCTTTATGATGTTCTACCACTAATATCTAATAACATCAGCCAATTATTTTGCTTTGCAGTCATAAAATTTATACATTAATAAGCAGACCAATGTGGTTATTAGATCAATGGCTAACTTAGAATGTATGTTTCTATTTTGGTGTTCACTGTATTACCAAGAAAAATAATAAGGCTATACAGTGGACCCCTGCATAACGATTACCTCCGAATGCGACCAATTATGTTAGTGTATTTATGTAAGTGCGTTTGTACGTGTATGTTTGGGGGTCTGAAATGGACTAATCTACTTCACAATATTCCTTATGGGAATAAATTCGGTCAGTACTGGCACCTGAACATACTTATGGAGTGAAAAAATATCGTTAACCGGGGGTCCACTGTACATTCAAGATGTGAAATGCCTGTTTCTTACTGATATACTGTATGTGATATTAAATGCAGGGGAAAATCTTGAAAATTTTTCTTTTACAGTACTAATAACTGCAACTTATATGACAGAAAATATAGTTTCCCACAGATAACCCTTCATGAAGGCTTTCAAAAACTCATCTAACGGCCCGGTAATGTATGATAATTACAAGTAATATGTCAAGAAATGTGGTTTCTCATAGATGAACCTTTAAAGATTTTATTCAAATAATCAGCAAGTGTTGATAGCTACACAGTCATCAAACAGAGTCTAGGTCATTACTGCTCTGGAGTAACTCTATTACCTAGAACTCCCACCAAAGACAAGAGTAGTGTGACCAAAGATACACCAGGCACATAACTTCCTGAGCTAATTCCACTACCGAGGCCAACAACAGTCAGGGCTGCCATAGTATCTGATGTAGACTTGCCTGGAGAGCCACTGTTGTGGTAGTCGAGGCAGGGGATGGGCTCCGTCTTGGTGAGCAGCCAATCATAGCCACGCGAGCGACCCTGATTCATCAGCTCCATGCCAATTACATCACGCACACGGACATGGTACGTGTTGATCCAGTGACACTGTAATAATGATTTTTATTGTTAAGTAAAATAAGTTGATAACCCCCTTGTCTATTGAATGTACAGCAAACTGATTATGGATTTTTTAGTCTTATAAATTTAAAAATTATTCTCCTTTACAGTGATGTCAGTGATGTCTCCTTTAATACCTTGCTACTTTATCATGTAAATGATGCTGAATGAGAGAGCTCAGGTTACCTCATGGCTGTGATGTCTCACTGTATGTTTATAATGTGAAAGATACATACAGAATTGATAATGACTAATGAATGAGCCTCAGTTCACATTACTATATGTCTCATTGTAACATAAAACATCTGTACATTGTTGGTGTTTAAATATCTACAAAAATAAATTAAGTTATCTAAATATCTTCAATAATAAATTAAGTTTTCTTGGCAACTTGTTGAATACAATACAAAAAGAACAACATACATAACTGACCCCATATACCTTATACACACATAATATACTCAAATGATTTATGTTTTTCCTATATTTATGAAACAAGACAAACTGCATTGTGCTTTAAACCATTAGAAATCAATATCAATGGTTGATAATTTTTAATAAGAAACACTAACTCCGTAAAATTATATTATACCACAAAATTCTATATTTATTTACCTGCTTGCTGGTCAGCATAGAAACGTTGATGAGGTTAGGTTCGAAGGGGACCAATGTGACAGGTTCAAATCGTAGTGATTGTTTGTCAAAATGATACTGTGAAAGAAACAATATCTTGGTATTAACAATATGTATTACACACAAACATATAGTACATATATGTATGTGTGTCCTAGGTAGTAGGTTGGTAGACAGCAACCGCCCAGGGAGGTACTACCGTCCTGCCAAGTGAGTGTAAAACGAAAGCCTGTAATTGTTTTACATGATGGTAGGATTGCTGGTGTCCTTTCTTCAGTCTCATGAACATACAAGATTTCAGGTACGTCTTGCTACTTCTACTTACACTTAGGTCACACTACACATACATGTACAAGCATATATATACACACCTCTCTGGGTTTTCTTCTATTTTCTTTCTAGTTCTTATTCTTGTTTATTTCCTCTTATCTCCATGGGGAAGTGGAACAGAATTCTTCCTCCATAAGCTATACGTGTTGTAAGAGGCGACTAAAATGCCGGGAGCAAGGGGCTAGTAACCTCTTCTCCTGTATACATTACTAAATGTAAAAGTAAACTTATTCCTCTATAATTTTTACAATCTCTTTTGTCCCCCTTTTCCTTTTATAAAGGGACTATACATGCTCTCTGCCAATCCCTAGGTACCTTCCCCTCTTTCATACATTTATTAAACAAAAATACCAACCACTCCAACACTATATCCCCCCATGCTTTTAACATTTCTATCATGATCCCGTCAGTTCCAGCTGCTTTACCCCCTTTCATTCTACGCAATGCCTCACGCACCTCTCCCACACTCACATCCTGTTCTTCTTCACTCCTAAAAGATGGTATACCTCACTGGCCAGTGGATGAAATTACCGCTTCCCTTTCTTCGTCGACATTTAAAAGTTCCTCAAAATATTCTCGCCATCTACCCAAAACCTCCATCTCTCCATCTACTAACTCCCCTACTCTGTTTTTAACTTACAAATCCATTCGTTCTCTAGTCTTTCTTAACTTGTTTAACTCACTCAAAAAATTTTTCTTATTTTCATTAAAATTTCTTGATAGTGCCTCTCCCACTCTATCATCTGCTCTCCTTTTGCACTCTCTTCACCTTTCTTTTACTCTCCTTATACTCTACTCTTCTTATAACACTTCTGCTTTGTAAAAACCTCTCGTAAGCTACCTTTTTCTCTTTTATCACACCTTTTACTTCATCATTCCACCAATCACTCCTCTTTCCTCCTGCACCCACCCTCCTATAACCACAAACTTCTGCCCCACATTCTAATACTGCATTTTTAAAACTATTCCAACCCTCTTCAACCCCCCTCCCCCACTACTCATACTTGCACCAGCCCACCTTTCTGCCAATACATATGTAGTTGCTTATATCTCGCCCGAACTTCCTCCTCCCTTAGTTTATACACTTTCACCTCCCTCTTGCTTGTTGTTGCCATTTTCCTCTTTTCCCATCTACCTCTTACTCTAACTGTAGCTACAACTAAATAATGATCTGATATATCAGTTGCCCCTCTATAAACGTGTACATCCTGGAGCCTACCCATCAACCTTTTATCCACCAATACATAATCTAACCAACTACTTTCATTATGTGCTATATCATACCTTGTACATTTATTTATCCTCTTCTTCATAAAATATGTATTACTTATTACCAAACCTCTTTCTACACATAGCTCAATTAAAGGCTCCCCATTTTCATTTACCCCTGGCACCCCAAATTTACCTACTACTCCCTCCACAACATTTTTGCCCACTTTAGCATTGAAATCCCCAACCACCATTACTCTCACACTTGGTTCAAAACTCCCCATGCATTCACTCAATATTTCCCAAAATCTCTCTCTCTCCTCTACACTTCTCTCTTCTCCAGGTGCATATACACTTACTATAACCCACTTTTCACATCCAACCTTTATTTTACTCTACATAATCCTTGAATTAATACATTTATAGTCCCTCTTTTCCTGCCATAACTTATCCTTCAACATTATTGCTACTCCTTCTTGAGCTCTAACTCTATTTGAAACCCCTGACCTAATCTCATTTATTCCACTCCACTGAAACTCTCCCATCCCCTTCAGTTTTGTTTCACTTAAAGCCAGGACATCCAGCTTCTTCTCATTCATAACATCCACAATCATCTCTTTCTTATCATTTGCACAACATCCACGCACATTCAGACATCCCACTTTGAAAATTTTCTTCTTATTCTTTTTAGTAATTATTTCAGGAAATGGGGTTACTAGCCCATTGTTCCTGGCATTTTAGTTGACTTTTACAACACACATGGCTTACGGAGGAAAGATTCTTATTCCACTTCCCCATGGATATAAAAGGAAAAGTAATAAGACCAATGAAAACTCAGATGAGTGTGTATAAACATGTACATGTATGTGTAGTGTGACCTAATTGTAAGTAGAAGTAGCAAGACTTACCTGTAATCCTGCATATTTATGAGAGAGACAAAAGACACAAGCAATCCTACCATCATGTAAAACAATTACAGGCTTTCGTTTCACACTCACTTGGCAGGACAGTAGTACTCCCCTGGGTGGTTGCTGTCTACCAACCTACTACCTGTAAACATAACTGTAAACATAAAATTCCTAATATAGCTACTGCCTAATAAATCTTAAGTTAGTTCTAAGTTTGCCTAAGATACTCTCCCAATATAGGAGATTAAATAGAAACAGTGCATCATGCCAAGACTAACTATTCCCATTACTAAATTTACTAATTGTAATATTGTTATGTATACATTTTGTACTACCTCATTATTATAAATCTAATTAATCACTTCAGTCACCTAATATGCAATAAGGTAAATTAAAATGTACTGCTCCATAACCTGTGTCAACACAGAGTAAGAATTAGGATTAGTCTGACCGAAATGCCTTGCTAGAGGCCTTTCTTGTAATGTATATTTTATAATTTGTAAACCACACACTGTAAGCTTTGCAAGGAAATAAACATTTTCATTTTCATAATAGTCTCGAGTTCAAACATACCGGTGTTGCTTGAGGAACCACGGTGAGTATACTTTCCAGACGTATTCCAAAGTCATTGTCCTGGTAGAAGCCTGGCTCTGTGGGAGAGGGAGGAGGAGTTACTGAATATATAAGCATGTGATACTGACAAGTAGTTGAGAAAGACACAAAATGAAATCACTAGGACATGTTCAGGCCCTGGGACCTTGGTCACTCCAAATTTGGAGTGAACAGGGTCTCAGGACCACAAAATTTTCAAAACACGTGTCCTAGTGATTGGATTTTGTATCTTTTTCTATGAGGAATTGCTTGTAGAAGCTGAGGAATAATACTAATTACCTAAATCAAGTTAATTTTATATGCAATGTAAGGAACAATGAAGAACCTTTACAGGATAAGATAATGGAAACATTGTATTAATTAATGTCACTTTAATATGACTATACTAGACAGCTTGGTATGATGAATAATGAATATTCTGATTTGAATAGTTTGTAAATAGTTCATATTTATTGATCATGATGACTAAAGTAACAGAACTGTCATAAGTAACTTAAAAATTTAAGAATTTTTTCATTGTTTTTCCACTTAAATGCACAAAATATGCTACTTTATGTTTAATAAAAAAAAATTATCAAACAGTGTGATCTAATCATCATTTCAACATCCAATTGAGCTTTAGAACGAGAGTGTTTACAAGGGAAGCATATTATATAAGGTAGCGACAGCTCAGAAAAAGAGTAACTCAGCACTACTTACCTTGAGATCCATGGTAGTTAACCTGATATTTCTTCTCATATGCTAAAATGAAGAGTTCAAAAGAGAACAATTACTAGCTATATATGACAGGTAAAATAAATAAGGATGAAATGTTTGCAGAAAGAGACAGGTTTAATTCTGAAGAAACTGTTGGCTACATACACATGCTCACATTTCATAAGGACAGATGAATCTGCAAGTTGAAGTCAGTCGTAAATTAATTACAGCTCAGTGAACTATTTAAATAACTGAATTGTGATTTCCTTGAACTTTTGACAAGGCAGGTATGGAATGAGTGTTGGTGTCATCATACCTTGCTTGAAAATGTTTATTTTTTTTTAAATATACCAGCTTATATGGTCAAAAAAAAAGCAATGGCAATTGTTTATTATTGATTAGTACAGGACCTCAAAGCTAGCAAACTCCTGGTACAGTAAATGCAACGTTGGAAGTGTATTCAGCCATTCTATAATGTGAAAAGATTTAATACATAAATATGAAGGGACCACACAAACTGTAATATGTAAAACAGACTCAGAAGGATACGTAGAGACACTGTGTATTGGAAGGAATGTCAAATCCTCGGTTAAGTAAACAAAATGCACTATAGACTTCATCTGGCTCAGTATATGTGGAAACTGGAATAATATCTGCAGTAACAAGCTGTTATAGTGTAGCTTATGGCTTAGAAAAAAAGCAAAAAAGCCATCACCTATGAGGTAAGCAACACAAATTTTACCTGTATGCCACATTGATAGAACAGTATTATTTATTCCATTCTTACCAAAAATACTTAACAAGAGAAACATAAAGTGAAACATAGATACAGTGCAAACCCACTTAGAGAGCAATACATCAGGGGGAGGAAAGCAGATAAGACATTGTAGTTAAACATAATACAAAGCAGGAGATCAAGACCACACTGTCAAGTCAGCTTTAAGCTAAAGGTCATGATGGGTCACCTATAAAGTCTTCAAGACCATAATGGTAAGCCAGCTAAAGGTCATGATGGGTGAGCTATAGATTTAAAGTCTTCAAGACCATACTGGTAGGTCAGCTATAGGTTTCAGGTCATGATGGGCCAACTATAGTAAGCCAGCTATAGGCTTAAGATCCATACAGGATCTGCTCTTTGGTTATTTCAATCTGCAAGTCAGGTATCCTGAGCAGGCTTTAAGCCTACAGATGCCCCCCTAGTTGGGTCTTCATGACAATTACCATGATATATCAAAAGTTACAAAGTTTTCACTGCCCACCTTCACATGATACTCAGCAACACATACACAGAGACTGAAACAATAGCATGAATTTCCTGCAACAGTGCCAGGCAATGTAAATTCAATATCCGTTTTTGAAACAAAACGTAATACAAAGCAGAATATCCGTTTTTGAAACAAAACGTAATACAAAGGAGAATCAGTTTAGAAAAATTACCAAAATGTTGTATGATATGTAAAGATATCTTATTAGTGATAAAAAGATACCAGAAATTTTCAGCAAGTACTCTAAATTTGCTAGTAATAGATAAAATATTGATTTGTAAATAACATGCAAATTTATTTGAGCATCTATATGGTTCTGTGCTGTTATCTACAAGTTGGATATGAGAGGTACAAAAAAATAGCCATTTTGACAGCAAAAATCCGTAAATATTTTTTACAGATAGCATGTGAAATACTGTATTTTGCCAAAGCAGTTTTAAAACGAGAAGAAAATACTGTACAAATAATGTTACACAGACACAAAAATAACAAAATAACTACTGTGCAAAATATTCTGCATACCTACAAGACAAATACAAAAAGAATGTGAGAAGAGGAAAGATGTATCACCAAGATATAACACAGAGTTAGGTGTCAGTACAACAATACCTAGTGGCTCATAAGAATATTTTATTTTAACTCATCGGCCGTTTCCTACCAAAGCATGGTGACTCAAAAAAGAAGAAACTTCTATTATAACTCACTCCATCACTGTCTTGCCAGAAGTGTGCTGATACTACAGTTCAAATACTGTAACATTAGCAAGAAAGCTATAAGTTTAAGGTTATCAAGGGGCCACTGGTGGGCCGAATTTAGGTTTAAAGTCAACTATTTATTTATTTATTTATTTATTTAGTAATTTGAGCATACATACAGAGATACAAAAAAATACAGGTAAGAGCAGCATGCCAAAGCCACTTATATGCATAGCATTACGGGCTGGCTTAAAATTAAACTAAAGACAACTATCAGGCCAGCATGATGCTAAAGGTCATAAAGACGATATTGGTGGGCCAACATCAATTATATGGTTGTCAAGAACATAGTGAGAAGCTAGCTTTAGGTTCAAGGCATACACATGATAAATAACGGAAAACTTCTTTCGCTTACTCTATTTCCTGTCTTTAACAAACTTGAGAACATTGAATAGATTAAGGTTGCATTTATGCAGCAGAAAATGATCACAAAACAAGTCCATATGTAAGAAACATGAATTAGCTTTGCCACATGCACATGCTTGCAGTGTTGAAAGTCATCATATGCAGGCATCTGCCACTGTGTTGGAAGCTGAGTATGTACTGTATCCAAAGACTACAGAAAAATGTATAGCATTAACAAAGATAACTAAGTATCCTATTCAGGAAGGGATGCAATACTCTGGCTGACATTTTTTTTTTGTCTTTGTAACAATTTACCATCTGAGAAGAAATGTCCAACTTCAAATTTGTGTTCTTCGCTGCCATATATTCTGACCTGTATGGGTGCTGTTGAAAGGAAAAATGGTGAAACGGTTTATCAACCTAATTTCAATCTTATCATAATTATATGATATAATAAAATTTATGCCTTACAGAGCAAGTGTGTGAAATATTTTCATTGTATTTGTTTCACTGTAAGTTATCTTATCAATAATAAGAATCAAGGGACTTCTTAAGTGATCCATGACATAGGTTACTATCTGATATGTTGTACAGCAAAACAGAATATGCACCACCACAACCAAAATCCAAGTTAATGAATGAATCAAGTCTTTAGTGTTTTGTCTATGTGTGGGAAATGTACAGACATTGTCTCCTGCATCTATAAGTTAGGCTCAAAGCCCCATAATGTCTGGCAAAATGAGCTTCACAGCTCCGATCTCCCCAAGCCTGTTTTTTTTTTTTTTTTTTTAATTTTTGAATTTGGCACTTACTTTATTCTGCCGTGCAATGCCTCATACAATTATATAAATGAAGATTTATAGTACAAAATATGTGGGTTTAAAAAATATTGCAGTACGACTGAGTGATGTTCTAATCACATGGTTCTGGTAGGTATGAACACAATAGCATCAATAAACTAGTATTAAGTTATGGTTGGAGCATTAAAAAAAATATAGATATGAACACAATAGCATCAATAAACTAGTATTAAGTTATGGTTGGAGCATTAAAAAAATATAGATATGAAAACAATAGCATCAATAAACTAGTATTAAGTTATGGTATATACTACACTTCCTAACTTAAATGTTGAGACTGGATAAAAGTGTTGCTTTAAATACAGTATGCCAGTTAGTGAAAAAATTAAAGACACTGCTTGCTAATAAGTTAGACTAGAGCATTAAAAAAGAGGGACTGACCTTCATGAATGTTAAGGAACATGCCAATGCCATGACCAGTGCCATGACGATAGTCCAGACCAACCTCATAGAGATGCCTGCAAGTGAAAACTATGTTAGTGTACTGGGTGAACATTTTTAATTGTCAAGCACAATGCCTACATCCAGGACAGCCTTCATAGGGGGGTACCTTGATGGCAGGAAGGGACTCTTGATCCAAGGAACCAGAGCCACCCTCCCTTATTTGAGGTTGGCTGAAATATTCTGCATAACAAGAAAGGGGCTTTGCATGTGAGACATGTAATGTCATTCAATTTTGTGCAAATGATGTATAATATGGAAATAAATTGACTGACTAAATCAACCCTAATTACTTCCCATTCCCCAGGCACTGTATTACCCATCATAATAATAACAATAACATTAATAATTTAAACATGCTGGCCGTCTTCCACCGAGGTAGGGTGGCAGCTATAAGCTTAAAGCATTTTTTTTTTTTAACAAGTCGGCCATCTCCCACCGAGGCAGGGTGACCCAAAAAGAAAGAAAATACTTTCATCATCATTCAACACTTTAACCTCACTCACACATAATCACTGTTTTTGCAGAGGTGCTCACAACACAACAGTTTAGAAGCATATACGTATAAAGATACACAACATATCCCTCCAAACTGCTAATATCCTGAACCCCTCCTTTAGAGTGCAAGCATTGTACTTCCCATTTCCAGGACTCAAGTCTGGTTATACAAAAATAACTGGTTTCCCTGAATCCCTTCACTAAATAAAGCATATAGTATATATATTAGCTGAACTGATGTTTAGCTTCTCAGCTTTTAGTAAATATACTGAAACAAGTAAGGGTCTTTAAAAATATATCACTACTTAAAATTTTTACCATAAAAAATTAAAATAAAAAAAGTTCTTCAACAGTATTTTATTACGATGTCCAGTTATTACCATATTTCATTCATGAAAATATTGATTGCCAGTGTCCTCCACAATACTCAACAAGTATAACATAGTAAGGATTGCATTAAATTTTTTCTTTTAACACCTGAAACAATTAGGACAAAAAATATGACAACTGCCAAGTGAAATGAAAAAAGCAGATAAAAACACGTTAAGTAATGGGATAGTACCTGCGAGCCATGATGTCAACGTCGGTATCTCCCGTGCCTTCGGGGAAGATTAGCATGGCCAGATCGATAGCACCCATCAACACTCTGGTATAGGCCTCTATCTGGAAGGGTGTTGGATCTCCATAGTGCATTGTTCGTGTCACATCCGTTGTCCCATCTGGGGAAGTGATGGAAAGGGGGTATTTAAATGACTGCATTTAGCTGTCCATGATTCGATCTCTGGTAAGGGAGGAAACAATGGACATGTTTCCTTACACCTGCTGTCTCTGTTCACCTAGCAGTAAGTAGGCACCTGGGTGTTAGCTGACTGGTGTAGGTTGCATCCTGAGGGAGGGGACAAGATTAACCTAAGTTGTCTGAAATGCTTTGCATAACAAGGGGCTTTCTATATAGTATGCTGATATCAGCTATGGTCTGTATAAGTTGTATCATGTACTTGTAGAAATAAGGATTATTATTGTAAGGAGATACTTTGATGCTGATATAAGGCTCTTACTCCAAGGAATTGAAACTACTCTCCTTCCATGGATCAAACCTGATTAATTCTTATTTCCCAGGAGCTGTGTGACCCTATGAGGTTTGGATCTGATGGATAGAAAAACTATCTCACAAGAGCTTCAAAAATATTATCATAAAACATCTCTTGAAATTAATGTAACACTTCATAAAATTTTGATAAACATTTATTCTGCCAACTGCATCTTATGCCGGTAGCTCATTCAACTGTTTCTTCCAATTGTAATTTAAATAGAAGAATCACTCAGATGGGTGTGTATACATATATGTGTATATGTACATGTAGTGTGACCTAAGTGTAAGTAGAGGCAGCAAGACATACCTGTTATCCCATGTGTTTATGAGACAGAAAAAAAGACACTGGCAATCCTACCATTGTGTTACTATTGTGTAAAGCAATTACAGTCTTCCATTTCACACTCACTTGGCAGGAAGGTAGTACTTCCCTGGGTGGTTGCAGACTGATATCATCTGGCATATATTTAAATCACAAATCTGAGCACCACTTACATAGAAAACTTTCTTGCTCATCTTGGGTTATCCATGTTGTTGATCAAGACTATTTTTGTTTCACTCTCCAAAATGAGCAGGACACTTTCTCCCATAATAATAATTTGAATTGTGTCTGTTGTGATATGAAAATAAATTTTGTTAAGCTTGCAATGCTTGAAAATAATCATAATTCAACTTTAAAGAAATAGCTGTCTGCTTGTTTGTTCTATTTGTAATAATAATAATAATAATAATATCTTTATTTACTACAAGTGCATGTACAAGGTATACAGACCATAGCTGACATCAATGACATACTACTATATAGAAAGCTGCTTGTTATGCTGAGCATTTCAGGCAAATTTGGTCAGTTTTGTCCCAGGATGCAACCCATACCAGTCAACTAACACCAAGGTACCCATTTTAAACTGATGGGTGAACAGGGACAGGGACAGCAGGTGTCTTATGGAAACACGTCCCTAATGTTTTCCAGCCATACAAGAGGAGATTCGAACCCTGGACCTCAGTGTGTGAGCTGAGTGTGCTAGCGATTGAGCTACAGGACACCTTAATATCCTAATTATCCTAATACCTAAATTTGTTTTGTATATTTTTAAAGTCCTTATATATAAGCAAATAATAATTACTGCCACTGTAATCTTAAGTTAGGCTTAAGCTCACCAGAAATGCTCTACATAACCATGGGTTTTCTGCATGCACAATCAAATGTCACCCATCACTGTATGAACACTGTATCATGTGAAAATAAATCTCTGACTTTGACTTTGACTACTAACCCTTGTATTGACCACCCGAGTCAAGAAGGTAGAGAGACGTGTTAGTGATTTGTTTGTTGGTTTCCTGCATGGGCTGGTAGTGCATCACAGCTCCATTGGAACCAAATGCGCTAATTGTGACAAAAGAGTTGCCCATGAAATCATCCTGCTGGGATCGGTATTCTCTCAGCTGCTCGGATGCTGAGATTTCACTCCAGTACTTGCCATCAATGACCTGTAATATACGACCATAGGGAAATCTACAACACCTGTTCATTGTATGACCCAAGTGGGTTTAGTGCTTAGTTATGATTGTGATAATAATATGACACCTGCTACATGAAACTATAACTAGCATCACTGCATGCTAGTGGCTTCTTTTGTTACTAACAAAAATTTATTACATGTACGTAAACTACATTACCTATATACATGTACTACAGAAAAAAAATAAACTATTTATATTTGTATGCTGATAATCTAGGTAGCTGAAGCAGCTTTAATTAAAAAGTTTAAACTCTTGGACTTCAAAAACTGCATAACGGAAAGCAGACTACAGTATTTCTTGTCCACCATTAATAATTTTTTCACTTTTATATGTAAAATTTTACTGTAAAAGATTAATATATTAGGTAGCAGTATAATGAGTACTTTAATTAAAACATAGTGAAAGACAGTGCTGAGATATAATCCGGATTAGTGCTGTCCTGGGAGACAGTAATGGTGAAGCTGGAGATGCTGTCCTGGGAGACAGTAATGGGGAAGCTGGAGATGCTGTCCTGGGAGACAGTAATGGTGAAGCTGGAGATTTTGTCCAGGTAGTCGGGAATTATACGCAGGAAGGAATACATATAAATGACCCCATAGGGGACAGGAGCCATAGTAGGGAAACAAGTGTAGTCAAAGATAAGATAAAACCAATATTGCAAACTAGAAATACCGCAGGAAATAGCAAACAAGAGGACTCCACTAGCAATAGTGAGGATATATTACCAAAAACAAATGGTGGGAGCTCCATTGTTGGTGCTAGGGAGGATAGAAGTAAGACAGGGAAACATGCACCAACAGGGAATACAGTCACAGAAACCCAAGGCAAACGGAAACCAAGCCTGTGCACATACTATGCACTCGGTATCTGCTGGCATGGGAAATCTGGAAAAACAGATGGGACATGCAACTATGACCACCCGAGAAAATGCCATGCCCATATGACAACAGGAAAATGCAAACTCCCTTCCTGTAAGCTTTTTCACCCTGAAATGTGTACCTCTTCAGTACAGGAAAGACTGTGCTATAACTTAAATTGCCAGGCATACCATCTAAAGGGGACAAAAAGATACAAAACATCCAGGCCATGGGAAAACCTGGGTAGCCACAGCCACTCAAGAGGGAGAGGTTTTTTAGTGCCAGGAAGGAAAAAAAACTGGCAGGAAATGGCAGAAATCGTACACCAAATCCAGTCATTCCTGGAGTGGAACCACAGTCGATGGCCTCCACTCCAAACCAACAGATACAGATACTAATGCCGGAAAAAAAATCCCCCCCCCCCCAGTACCAACAATACCACCAGTCCGATAACATTCTTCTTTGCAAATATACAGGGTCTAAAGCCAGCAACAAACAACAAAATACCTTTCATCGTGGACTGCTTGCAGAGGCAAAGGCAATGTTCGCGGCTTTCACTGAGACCCACATAAAGGATCACTTGGACAACGAAATATGGATCCCAGGTTACAACCTAAACAGATGTGACAGAGTGAACAGGCAAAAGGGGGGGGTTGGCCTGTACATTGCAGAGTCACTTGTTTGCACAGAACTGCTAAATGCCTCAAATGATGTAGTGGAAGTTTTAGCAGTAAAGGTCGAGAACCAAAACCTAGTCATTGTGATAGTCTACAAGCCTCCGGATGCAACATCCCAGCAATTCCAGGAACAGCTGTTAAAAATTGACCACTGTCTGGAAAACCTTCCAGCTCCTGCACCCAACATCTTGCTCCTGGGGGATTTCAACTTAAGGCACCTAAAATGGAGGAATATAGCAAATAATATTGTTGCAGTAATAACACCAGGAGGCAGCTCTGATGAAAACTCACACTCACGCGAGCTTTTAAATCTCTGCACAAAATTCAATTTAAACCAGCAAATAATAGAGCCTACTAGACTGGAGAATACACTAGACCTCATCTTCACTAACAATGATGATCTGATAAGAAATATCACCATATCAAAAACAATATACTCAGATCACAACATAATTGAGGTTCAGTCATGTATGCGCGGAGCCCCAGACCGACATAATGAGATTAGTCACGAGGGAGCATTCACCAAATTCAACTTCAATAACAAAAACATAAAGTGGGACCAAGTAAACCAAGTCCTAACCGATATAAGCTGGGAAGATATACTAAGCAACACAGACCCAAACTTATGCCTAGAACAGATTAACTCGGCGGCACTCGATGTATGCACAAGGCTTATTCCTCTAAGAAAAAGGAGGAGTAGATGTAAAACAGAAAGAGACAGGCGCTCCCTTTACAGGCGATGGAAAAGAATAACAGAGCGGCTAAAAGAGGTCAATATATCTGAAATGCGTAGGGAGACACTGGTCAGAGAAATAGCAAGCATCGAACTTAAGCTAAAAGAATCCTTTAGGAGTCAGGAATCGCGGGAAGAACTAAAAGCCATAAATGAAATCGAAAGAAACCCAAAGTATTTCTTCTCCTATGCCAAATCAAAATCGAGAACAACGTCCAGTATTGGGCCCCTACTTAAACAAGATGGGTCCTACACAGATGACAGCAAGGAAATGAGTGAGCTACTCAAGTCCCAATATGACTCAGTTTTTAGCAAGCCGCTAACCAGACTGAGAGTCGAAGATTAAAATGAATTTTTTATGAGAGAGCCACAAAATTTGATTAACACAAGCCTATCCGATGTTATCCTGACGCCAAATGACTTCGAACAGGCGATAAATGACATGCCCATGCACTCTGCCCCAGGGCCAGACTCATGGAACTCTGTGTTCATCAAGAACTGGAAAAGGCTCGTGATAGGGGCCTATCACGAGCCTTTTCCATCCTATGGAGAGGGAGCATGGACACGGGGGTCGTCGCCACAGTTACTAAAAACAACAGACATAGCCCCACTCCACAAAGGGGGCAGTAAAGCAACAGCAAAGAACTACAGACCAATAGCACTAACATCCCATATCATAAAAATCTTTGAAAGGGTCCTAAGAAGCAAGATCACCACGCATCTAGAAACCCATCAGTTACACAACCCAGGGCAACATGGGTTTAGAACAGGTCGCTCCTGTCTGTCTCAACTATTGGACCACTACGACAAGGTCCTAAATGCACTAGAAGACAAAAAGAATGCAGATGTAATATATACAGACTTTGCAAAAGCCTTCGACAAGTGTGACCATGGCGTAATAGCGCACAAAATGCGTGCTAAAGGAATAACAGGAAAAGTCGGTCGATGGATCTATAATTTCCTCACTAACAGAACACAGAGAGTAGTCGTCAACAGAGTAAAGTCCGAGGCAGCTACGGTGAAAAGCTCTGTTCCACAAGGCACAGTACTCGCTCCCATCTTGTTCCTCATCCTTATATCCGACATAGACAAGGATGTCAGCCACAGCACCGTGTCTTCCTTTGCAGATGACACCCGAATCTGCATGACAGTGTCTTCCATTGCAGACACTGCAAAGCTCCAGGCAGACATCAACCAAATCTTTCAGTGGGCTGCAGAAAACAATATGAAGTTCAACGATGAAAAATTTCAATTACTCAGATATGGTAAACATGGGGAAATTAAATCTTCATCGGTACAAAAAAAATTGGCCACAAAAGGCGAAACACCAACTCAAAGACCGGGGATGATATGTGGGAGGATCCCCCTTCAAGGACCAAAACATTGTATAATCGCATCTGCTAAAAAAAATGACGGAGGTAATGAAACCCTTTCAAAACTGGGGACCCCAAGCCCAAATACACTCTTCGGTCACTTTTTTCTATCTAGGCGGGAATATTGCTGCACACTAACAGCACCTTTAAAGGGCGGGTGAAATTGCCGACCTAGAAAATGTACAGAGAACTTTCACGGCGCGCATAACGGAGATAAAAAACCTAATTATTGGGACCCCTTTGGGTTTTCAAACCCTGTTTTCCCCTGGAACGCAGGGGGAGAATAATGTTATTACACCGGGAAAAAACCTAAGGATAGACCGAATTTTGCACACGAAATCACTCATTACGAAAAAAAAGATTTTGGCAGACGAGCACCACCCCCCCCATGCAGGGGTGCATAGCACTTAAGAGACCATACATAATGTCGGGCCCGAGATTTTAACTGCCCCCCAGACACATAAGGGGGTTACCAACAGACCCCTGGCAGTTTTCAAGGGGCACGGACAAGCACCTAAATCATTTTGGGATCAGCCGGGCGTGGCTCGTATGTTGGTTTGCGTGCAGCCAGCAGCAACAGCCTGGTTGATCAGGCTCTGATCCACCAGGAGGCCTGGTCTCAGACCGGGCCGCGGGGGCGTTGACCCCCGGAACTCTCTCCAGGTAAACTCCAGGTAGCACTGGTAATTAGACAATATGTATATGCAAGTAACTTTCTGGCCATCAACCTACATCATCTTCCAATACTTAAGTTCCAATATTTAAGGAGTGCAAGGAGATCAAATTCAGCTGTTGATAATGAAGTCATCCCATTAACTAGTCCTCTGTCAAAACTGTCCTCCTTTCTTCTAGCCTTCACAGATGCCGTCTTGTTGAAGAATCCCTTATACACAACTTTCCTAATATAAATCTTAATCCTGGGTTTGTCTCTGTAAATGCCTTCCTTTCTCATATTATTGTCAAATGCTCCAAACTCCAGAACACTTGTGACTTGACCTAATCTTAATCTCCTCTCCTTACCTCTTCTCCTTTCCTATTTTCTTTGCCTTTCATTTCTTTTGCCTACGTAAGTTCTTTCCTTAAGTTTTTTGTCCTGTGTTTTTGGTCCCACCCTTATGGGCCATTAGCTCTCATGCAGTGCTCCTCTTTCTTCTTTTTTTCTCTCATCCGTAGATTACCTCCGCTACTACTACTACTACTACTACTACTATTATTATGTACTATGTACTACTTCTGCCATAATACTTCTACCTCCTCAGTCTCCCGGCCCTGTCCCCCTCTCATATATGTACTGGCTTACTTCCCTTCACGCTTCTGTGTGACTAGACAATGGCCCAAGTAGGACTGAAATGTCATCATAAGTTTCATTCTCCTATGTGTGAGTTATCTGTGTGCATAACCAAGACTTCTTGCTCATGGTTATGACCATCCCAATAACTGAAGCAGATCTAGTATAAACCATTTCACTAGAATGTCTTCTAGTCTGCCTATTGGTATCAAGACAGTCAATAAAACCATGAAAACATTTCTTTGAAAATATCCCATATTAACTATTTTACCCAAACACAAGATCAGAGGTTAGTTTTCCCCCATCATGCACTGTGTGGGACAGATTTTTATTTTTCTACTGAGCACACTCCTACTGACACAACTCCCACTGACATAGATCTATATAAATAACAGCATAATGGTTAAAGCCAGTCTCCCCCTCAGCATATTTACACTGAGTGTGTATACTTTTTCCTGAAATATTGAGCATGCAATGGGCTTCATAAAACCATTACTAGGTAAATTATTTTATTTTTTAATGTGAAATTGTATGTTGCCTATGAGAGTTACCATGACTACTAGATCTGATGAGGTTCTGATGATTATTGGTAAATTCTGTCTATATTTTAGTTAGGCTTAAGCTTGCCCAAAATGTTCTGCATAAATATGGGCTTTCAATATGCACTCAAGTGTCACTCATTTCTGTATAAACAATGTACTGTATGCAGTGCCATACCTCATACTCCAAAAATGCCAAGAAATCACAGAGGGCAACAGCATCCTTGATGTGAGCATTCTTCATGCCTTTCACTTCTACCATGTTCTTGCGAGCCTTCATCAGCAGCACCGGAGACGTGACCAATGATCGCATTTCCTCAGGTACCTGAAATAATGTTTAAATTAAGAAAATAATAAAGAATAATTTGAAATACATAACTTATTTTTAAGGACACTTGCCATCTCCCACTGAGGGTGACCCTAAAATGAAACACTTTCACTATCATTCGCACTATCACTGTCTTGCCAGAGGCACGCTGATACGACAGTTTAGAAGAACTGAGAAAAAAGAAATACGTAAAGATAATGAAAAATTATTTTATAAGTAATGTTTTAAAATGTGAAGATGAATTAGCAATAAGGATTTGGTTATAAATTTAGGGAAAACCTCATTCAAAATTTATTTTTATTTTGCTGGCTCAGTTTAAATGAAGTTCCCCATTATTTGATTGATTGGTGAGTGATGAACAATATGACTACACTACCAACAAAATATTATGGTTAGCCTCAGCGTTGTATAGCCCTTGTGGCTTAACGCTTCTTTTTGGCTATAATAATAATAATTACGGTTAGCCGGACTTGAGTCCTGGAAATGGAAAGTACAATGCCTGCACTTTAAAGGAGGGGTTTGGGGTATTAGCAGTTTAGAGGGACATCTAAACTGTCATATCTGAGTGCCTCTGCTAAGACAGTGATTATGTATGAGTGATGGTGAAAGTGTTGAATGATGATGTATGTTTTTTTTATCTCTTTTTAGGTTTTTCTTTCTTTTTGGGTCATCCTGCCTCGGTGGGAAATGGCCGACATGTTAAAAAAAAAAAAAAAAATTACCAACAATATGTTAGGTATAAGGATACAAGTGCAACTAATGTGACATTACTTGTGGGAACAGCTTGAGAAATTTCCTGGAGAGTGAAATGTTGCCACAATAAAATGTCACATTAGATGCACTTGTGTCCTTTTACCTAACAATATGACTGTAATCTTTTATTTTACTGATTGGTGAGCGATCAACAATATGATTTTCATCTTAAGAACAAGTTCTTAAGCAAAGTCGTAGTTGTAGCTTACAGCAGAATAGACAGCGTAAGAGGCCCCACCAGAGTACGAATACTTGGCTCCCAACAAAACTTTCTTGACACTGTTGTGTACTTTAAGGGCCCGCAACCGGTTCAGCACGGCTGTGTACTCGTTAATGCTGTAGAGAACAGGGATGTGAATGATTAATGCAGCAACTTGCAATAATGGGAAGAAATTTTAACAATTTCAACATTCTTGCCTATTTATTTACAAAAGAAACTTTTGGATTATGATAAAGTTTCAAAGGCAACATTCTTGCCTATTTACAAAAGAAATTTCCTCTATGTGCACAAGTAACTACCTCTGGGATATTAAAAGAAGTAAGCTCAAACTCTTGATCCCATCTTTTAAAGAATAAAGACACAATACCATGACTGAACAAACGAATAAAGAATAAAGATTTTATTTCTTTGCAAAGGTTCCAATGTGTAATTACAGTTTTGATTTGTTAAGTACATGTACAGAGAAAGTCACTATCATGCTGGGGCATTTTGGGCAGACTAATCCTAGTACATAATAACTACTTAAGTCTAGACAAGATAAGAGTGGTTAACATTTTTAATAAATCTTTATTTTATCTTAATACTAATGCCTGTATAACCCTTGTGGCTTAGCGCTTCTTTTTGATTATAATAATAAATGGAAATGGAAATAAGTCACTCTGTCTGACTTTTTTTTGGGTTATCCCAGGTTCTCTACACATATGCTGCTATGTATGATAATTCTATGTAACTGTATTTATGTATACCTGAATAAACTTACTGGGTGTTAGTTGACTCATGTGGGTCACATCCTGGGACAAAACTGACCTAATTTGCCCGAAATCCTCTGCATAACAAGGGGCTTTCTAATAGTAGTATGTCATTAATGTCAGCTATGGCCTGTATACCTTGTACATGTACTTGTAGAAATAAAGATATTATTATTATTATTATTATTATTATTATTATTATTATTATTCTATTACTAAACTCTTTCCACTCATACACCACTCTTATATTAAGGAAATTAGTACTGTACTTCCTAATATCTCCATAAGTCATTTGGGTATGTAATTATTAACCATCCCTTTCCTCAGATCATCATAATAATAATCATCATAATAATAATGGCAATAATAATAATGACAATAATAACAATAATAATAATAATAATAATAATTAATCTTCTCAAAATGCCCTGGCATGATAGTGGCTTTCTTCATACTCAACAAATCAAAATTGTAATTACACATTGCAACCTTTCCTAAAAAATAAAACCTTTATCTTCATATTTTACTAATATTAATAATACTACTACTACTACTAATAATAATAATAATAAAAGTAATAATGGAAATAATAACAAAGGCAATAATAATAATAATGACAATAATAATAATAATGGCAATAATAATAATTGCGTAGAGAGTATAGCAAGAGTTTACAATGCTCACGTGACACATTCCTGGCCGCCACACTGGTTGACATGAAGGTGGTTATCCACTGCTGGAGTAATCTTTTCCTTGGGGATGTACAAGTCTACACTGTCCCGCCCCAGGATCACATAGCTTCGGAACACTGCAAAAGACGAAGTGATAAAAAGGGTTTGTATAGTTTCAACCTGACTACAGAGAACATTATTATTTAAAAGACAAAAAAAATTGTTTTGCCTATATAACAGAAAGTCATTCTGATGTTAAATTAATAATAATAATAATAATAATGACAATAATAATAATAATAATAATAATAATAATAATAATAATAATAATAATAATAATAATAATAATAATAATAGTTTTCACAGGGCTAGACGATGCATAATTGCACAGTACATATACAGTGGACCCTCGGCCAACGATATTAATCCGTTCCAAAGAGCTTATCTTTAGGCAAATTTATTGTTAGTCGAATTAATTTTCCCCATTAGAAATAGTGGAAATTCAATTAATCCGTTCCAGACACCCAAAAGTATTAAATTTTTTTTTTTTTATGAAATATATATTTCCCTACAAAGAAAACAATGAGACATGCACAATAACTATATAAATAAATGTTAAAATGACACTTACCTTTATTGAAGAGTATTGATGAATGATGAGACACTGTTTTTCTTGAACACTCTGGGATTTTCAGTGATACATGAGTATAGGCTTCACTTTGCAATCCCCACTAGCATTACAACAAAACATGAGTTAGCCTGTCTTTCATAGGCTTGTGTCCTGGGAGTGCCTTTTCCTCCTGAGTAATGTAGGTCCTGTTTGGCATTTTCTTCCAGAACAGGCCTGTTTTGTCACAATTGAACACTTGTTGGGGATGGAATTTTTCAGCTTCACCATGCCTTATCGCACTGTGTATGTCACTACAATTCTTAAATCTCTCAAACCTACCTTTGCTGGCCTTAAATTCACTAATATGAGCACTAGTACAGCTGATGGTGGTGGAGCAGCAGCTGATGGTGGTGTAGCAGCAGCTGACAGTGGTGCAGCAACAGCTGACTGTGGTGCAGCAGCAGCTGACTGTGGTACAGCAGCAGCGGTGATGCAGCAACAGCTGACTGTGGTGCAGCAGCAGCTGACCGTGGTACAGCAGCAGTTGATGGTGGTTCAGCAACAGCTGACTGTAGTGCAGCAGCAGCTGACCGTGGTACAGCAGCAGCTGACGGTGGAGCAGCAACAGCTGACGGTGGTGCAGCAGCAGCTGACGGTGGAGCAGCAACAGCTGACGTTGGTGCAGCAGCAGCTGACCGTGGTACGAGAGTATTTTGATAGTATTTCTCACCCTTTTTACCATAGGGTTGGCACTAGAAGCTTTCTTTGGGCCCATGGTGGCTTATTTAGCAGTTACAAGGACTAAAAACAATGGAATAAAACAAAATTTATTGAATATATGCGTGGAACCGTCCACTCTGGCTTGTAAACAATGACAGCAGAGCAGCTGAGGTGCTCAGGCTGGATGGACAGGTTCAGGACGAATCATGTTGGTCAAGCTTTTCATCATTGGTTGGGCCAAAATTTTTACGTTCAAACACTTCGTTGGACGAATTTATCGTAAGATGATGCCTTTGTTGATCGAGGGTCCACTGTATATGGAAAGCCTGTTTTTTCAAGAGCATTTAGGGCAAACTTTTTTATTTATTTATTTATTTATTATTAATTTGGACATGATACATAGATGTACAAAGAAATACAGTGGTTAAGTGTAACATGCCAAAAGCCCCTTGTATGCAGAGCATTATGGGCAGGCTTAAAATTAACTTAAGATTAACTAAGTTAAGCAATGATATATTCAGTGGTAAAAATTATATTGAACAAATAACAATTAAGCATAAATGAGTATTTCAAAGACAGGTTATATGGCCATTTGCTGAGTTGTTGTGCATTCAATAGAATGGAGTATTCTGTTAGGTAATGTAATTAAAAAAACAAAGTTTTATAGGGTCACAAGTAAAACATTTATGAGATACAGTTATTCAGTATTTATTTAGTTGTGGGTGAGTAAGTGATTTATAAGAAGAGACTTGAATTTAAAAACAGACAGTGTTTCTTTCATATTCACAGGTAATGAACTCCAGATTTTTGGGCCTTTTATGTGCATTGAGTTTTTGCATAGTGTGAGATGGACACGAGGAACATCAAAGAGTGATCTGTGCCTTGTGTTATGGTCATGTGTTCTGTTGAGGTTGGTAAGTTGGTAGTAGGTACAATAATAAGTATGGATGTTTTGTACAGTGAGTAGGTTCAGAGTTTTGAAAATTGGTAGAGTGTGCTGCCTGTAGTGGGAATTTATCATCATTCTGACTGCAGCCTTTTGTTGGGTAATTAATGGTCTGAGATGGTTTATTGTTGTTGAGCCCCATGCACAAATTCCATAGGTGAGATAGGGGTAAATAAGTGAGTGATATAGGGCCAGGAGGGCTGACTGTGGAACATAGTACCGTATCTTCGATAGTATGCCTACAGTCTTGGAAATTTTCTTGGAAATTTGTTGTACATGTGTTTGAAATTTGAGTCTACTATCAAGGTGGATTCCTAAGAATTTTCCCTCTGTGAGCTTTGTGATAGGTGATCCGTTTATCATTATGTTAAGACAGACATCTGTAGCTCTGTTTCCAAACTGAATGAAGTAGGTTTTGTCAGTGTTGAGAGTAAGTTTGTTAGTCATCATCCAGGTAGATATTTTCTGTAATTCGGTAAAATTAATAGAATATGAAAATGTTAATTATTATTTGGAATACAAGTTGTCTACAGATTTACCCCCACTTTGTAGATTAACTGTAAATGAGTCATCATTCACAAACAAATCACACTAGAAGAGGGAACATTAGATGACATTTTGGTTCATGCTGGATCATTAGCACCTTGATAATGGCCAGGGCACAAAAATCATAGATAATGTTTCCTCACGTAAGTGCTAGTTATTTGTTAATTGTTCCATCCACGGCATTGTGACTTATTTCTCAATATTCAATCATTAACAAAATTTCAATCCCCTTTTTAATTACTGCACTGTACATTAGAAGAATATTAATACAATAAATGTCAAGTGTGCAGATCACTATACCTGGATTGTAAGGTACATCATTGCCACGGAGATTGAGCAGCCAGGCTATCTCATCAAGTGCAGTTATTACCATTAAGTCAGCACCTTCCTTCACCATCTCTGTTCGTACATCTGCTATCTTTTCCTCCCATCTTTTACCTTTGGAATGAAACATAAATTCTGATTTAACTTAATCACATTACTTTCTGTGCATACTAGTATGTATGTAATTAGTTCAGTTTGCAGGTTTGTATAGACACTAGTACATAAATATTATTTGTTGTAACATGCTGGCCATCTCCCACTGAGGCAGGGTGACCCAAAAAAGAAACACTTTTACCATCATTCACACTATCACCCTTTCCAGAAACATGCAGATATGACAGTTTAGATGTCCCTCCAAACAGCAAATATCCCAAACCCTCCTTGAGACTGCAGGCGCTGCACGTCCCACCTCCAGGACTCTTAAGTCCGGCTAACCAGTTTTCCTGAATCCCTTCACAAAATATTATTATTATATATTTATGGAGAAGCACAAAAATCTGTATCATTCATACAAAGCCTGGGGAAATGGAAGGTAACCAGGCTTGATCCAAGGAAGGACAAGAGAGCAATGGTGACACAATTCATTACTGACCAGCATACTGGAGCTCATGGATAAAGATTGGGTCTTCAGAGTAGGGCGGCCGCTCCTCTAAGGGCCACACAAGGTCTACCAGGTTGGTCTCCTCTCCTATTAGCTCTATGTCTGACTCTGAGAGGCAACACATGAGAGAGTATTAACAGTAGTTATGGTGCAGACCACTTGTGCTATGTCACAATGACTTAGCATACATTATTTCAGACAGCAAGTTAAGCATAATTAAACTTATTTTAAAATGAACTCTGTTTATTAACTGACAAATGAGGCACTGAACAACATTTGGGAATGCTTATTGTTTGAATGTTTCAGCAGCCAGTGCCTTCTTCAGTCCAATACCAAGAATGGTGGAAGTAGTAATGAACATCTGCAATAAATAAACAGAAAGGAGGCAGGAGGCTCAAATCAGGATTACGGTTTGAACCTTCAGTCTGCCTTTCTGTTTATTTTAAAACATTTATTAGGCTGCAGATAGTGTTTTTTTTTTATCAAAAGATGTCTTTTTTTAATACTTATTACATATATCATAACTGAAGCAAGCAATTTTGATATTTTCTTAATCTCATATTTAATTTAAGCCACAAGGTATTGTTAAATTTACTACTGAGAGGCAATGTAAACATCATGATTTTGAGAAGCTAATATTCTGGTGAATGCAGTGAGTAGTTTAAATTATCTTTAAAAAATTGTATATAATAACTTAGTGATCTAAGAGTAAAGCAATCAATAAAATTAGTTGACGCAACAGATGTTGACAATGAATGAGTTAAAATTAAACATTATATAAGTGGACTAACTGGCCAAGTCTTCAGCGTAGGAAATCCAGGTTTTGGCCCCAATTAGTCGAGGGTCAGCACCCACCTTGGACCCAGGCACCAGCTTCTGACGCAACCAATCTACCATCTTGGGCACCTGGTGAGAAAGATGTGTGTAATGGTGGCCAACTCTCCTTCAAAGGGAGTCCCTTGATGCTGGTGAATGACTTTTCATGAGAGGAATTGGAGTTGCTTTCCTCTTCCTTAGACTGAACCTGATGACCTCCCATTTCCTCAGCACTAAATGACCCTCATAATAATGCTGCAATTACACATTCACGTGCCTTTAACAGTGATATATCTACTCTAGGTGTGTTTCTATACTTGTTGAACAGTAACTGAAAATAAAGAGGGAATAAGTGTTCAAACAAGAAAATTGTAGCAGAGGACAGTGTATATCAACTGAGGTGTAAGATAAGATAAGATAAGATTTCGTTCGGATTTTTAACCCCGGAGGGTTAACCACCCAGGATAACCCAAGAAAGTCAGTGCATCATCAAGGACTGTCTAACTTATTTCCATTGGGGTCCTTAATCTTGTCCCTAGGATGCGACCCACACCAGTCGACTAACTCCCAGGTACCTATTTGCTGCTAGGTGAACAGGACAATAGGTGTAAGGAAACGTGTTGAAATGTTTCCACCCGCCGGAATCGAACCCGGACCCTCCGTGTGTGAAGCGGGAGCTTTAGCCACCAGGCCACCCATACAAATGGCAGTCTGTAGATATTTATTTGGTATGGAAAAGTAATGTTAATTAGATGTACTTGTTATATTGTCATATTATTAACATAGCAGTAATATTTTGAGAGAGGAGGTGGAGACATCTCATTGCCCTCCTAATTCTAACTTTGATTTAAGCTAAATCATGTTGTGTTAGTCTCTGTTCCACTAAACATGACATTATCAACCCCTCATGAATAGCTCATACAAAGTATAAGTTGGATAGACAGTTCAGATATGCATTGAAGAATTAGATTACAGCAGAAATCTATAATCTCACAATATTGCTGGAAGCCAAAGTCATAGCTGATGCCTCTCCATGTCTCACAGACAGCTACATGCACCTCAAATAATATTATTAGTAATTTTGTATCTTTTGTGATTATTTTCTCAAATGCATTCAACTTTAGTATATGTGTGCTTGGTATGGTGTGGTGAGTTTGCATGTGTGATACAATTTGGTAATTCGATACAATTTAGTAATGATGCAATTTGTTATTTTTTCAATGTGGCTTTTAAGCTGAGTTGCAGTGTTAACAAATTGACACCTGAACATGCTGCCTCCAACATCCAACTGGCCCTGGTAGGCTGACATTAACCCTTCCAACACTCTCTAAATGTTTCCAGTAATGACTAACATAATGTAAAGCAAGATAAACTACATTACTTTTTACATATAGGAATATTTAAGAAACAGTTTGGCTTTTATAAAGGTTTTAGGAACATAACCTTATTTTTTCTGTATGTTCTTCATTTTAGTTAGCATTAAATTAGATTACAAACCAATTTTCAGGAACATAACCCTTGTGTTAATTGACACTACTGTAATTGATTACCAGATTCTTAGATCAACTAAGAGTGAGAAAAATGATCAATTACAGTATATGTTTGTGCTTCTCAGCCATCTTACCCCAGCATTTTTCTGCTTCATGAGCAGCCAGTGGCAGTCTAGTTGGAGATCTGCCTGCAGGAAGTACCGTCCATCAGTCCAGAGTGCTTGATGGTCCCTGGTCACCACCGCTGTGCCAGCACTGCCAGAAAATCCACTTATGTACTGGCGGCGCTTGTCTGCTGGTGCTACGTATTCACTCTGAAGAAAAAAAAGACTTTCAAGCTAAAACGACTCCATTTTATTACTTAGGAGCCCAAGTGGTAGAAAAATATAGGTTGCCACTGTGGTCTAGGGGAGCAGGTGGCCACTGTGGTCTATGGAACAGGTGATCACTGTGGTCTAGGGGACCAGGTGGCCACTATAATCTAAAGGAAAGGTGGCCACCATGGTCTACGGGAAACAGGTATGGGAGTGCCATTTGACAATCACAGGTTTGATCCCATATGAAGCCTTGTTTAAACAAACACAATGAGGTGCCTTGATACTGGTGAAGGGCTTTTGATCCAACAAATTATGGCTACCTTCCTCGTCAAGCTTGAATCAATTCAGTTTTACCTCTCATTCCCCAGGTGCTCTATGACTCCTACAGGTTTAGCACTCTCCTATAATGATGATGATATATAATAATAATAACAGTAATAATAATAATAATACTGTACAATGATAAACAGATATTATTTGACACAGTATTTTGATTTTGCTAATATGAAATAAATATTTCAATATTATATTATTGTTTTTTTTTTATATCTGCAGCTATCATATTTTTCTGTATATTGATCTGCCTTCTTTATTATTATCATTATTATAATCAAAACTCAACCACCACGGTCGAACAGCGCCTCTTTCTCTAACCATATAAAATGTTATACACATAGATGAGGAGACCCATACAATGCCTTGCAACCAATTTAGAAAAAAAAACTGCATCTATTAAGTAACAATTACCTGGTGCTCATCATCGGTGGAATGATATAGGCATCAAACCCGGACTTCATCATCTGAATACGCAGTTGAGCCACTCTGTGGGAAAGACACATTACGTTTTGTACATAAATGGTTTAGAAAACCAACAAGTTGAAGAACGAGATACTTTTGCAACATTGAGGTATCTTTAGTGCTCAAAATGCTCTGCCTAACTATGGACTTCATGCATGCACAATCAAATGTCCCCTATCTCTGTGCAAACAGTGTATCAGGCTGAAATAAATCTTTCTCTCTGTTTTTGTCTTTGACTTAAAAAGCCACTGACTGGCAAAACATTTCCACATTTAAGATACAGAAAGGTCCTGCTTTACAGTGCTTCACTTCAGTGTTTTTCAGTTAAACCCATTCTTTATTTATTCAAACTTCTTACAATAAATACATTCACCACTCAATATAGTTAAAGGTCGAAAATATTTTAATGTAAAGATAAAGATACATGTACATGTATATATTTTGACAAATTACATGGCTATATAGAGGAATATAATAGTTGGGTGTAAGTAATGTGTAGACTCCATATGAATATTTTAGGCCTAGCTCTACTGCTCACTTAATATATGATAGTGTAAATATGTTGTCATGCTCTTATGTGCATTTGAATGTGAAAAAATGCTACATTTCACCTTACACTGATTTTTTATTTACAGAGGCAGCTTGGAACCTAACCTGCAGTATAAGCAGGACCCCTCTACTTTAATTGCTTTAATATTTAACCCTTAAACTGTCCAAACAGATCTACGTTCACATGTGTAGTGCTCCAGAAGTAGATCTATGTTTTTTTTACATATTTTCAAATACGTATAACAAAAAAACGTAGATCAAAGTTTTTTTTACACGTTTTCAAATGTAAAAAAAGAAAAAGAAGCTCTATGTTTTTTACATTCTTTCAAATGTTGAAAAAATGTAGTTCTACATTTGGACAGTTTAAGGGTTAATGATTGATGCATCTTAAACAAACAAATAACTTTATTTTTATAAACAGAAGTACTGTAAAGTATAAAATTATGGTAAGTGGCATGTATAAACACATGTCAATTATGGTGTCTTGAGTAGCACTAGGAAATATTCATAGCTACATTAATGTCTTCAAGAAAAATACATGTACCATATTTCTGGTTAAGGGATATTGTCCCAACCCTTTAAGTGGGCCTAAGAGTTTTTCCCTTGACTCTGAAAGAATGATTCTTAGTGACTCATTAAATCTTAATTGCATGATTGCAAACAAATCACAGAACAGTTGGGATTGAATCCATGGCAGGTAAGTTTAAAACTCACAGGAGAGTGCATACTGGCCTCTGAGTTTTAGGGTTCAAGTCCCACCTGTTCCGTGAATGGGTTGACGGTGGCATACACCCACCTATCTGTGGTGTTGACGCGGGTGAGTGGACTGTTATCAACATCGATGTCATCCCCACAGAAGGATCTCTCGCTGAGTGTGACTTCACGAACCACCCTCTTCTTCCTGCCTCCCTCCTGCTGCTCCTCCTCTTCCCACTCATCTTCAAGCTTCTCGTGCGTGTGACATCCTCGGCTCACTC